AATCACATATTCTTTATCCATTTGTATGTTGATAGGCACCTGGAATGATTTGATAACTGGATACTGTGAATTGTATTACTGTAAACATTGATATGTTTGTATCACTCTGTATGTTGATTTTAGTTCTAGTGGATAAGGAGTGGAATTAAGAAGCAGTGGAATACCTGGGCCATCTGGAGGATCCATTCCTAGTTTTTGAGGAGCTCCATACTGTTTCCAAGTGGTTATACTAATTTGCTTCCCTACTAACGATAAATAAGTGTATCTTTGCCCAAATCCTCATCAGAATTTATTATTTGTATCTTTAATCACTGTCATTCTAACTGGTGTGAGATGAAATCTCAGTGCAGTTTTCATTTACATTTCCCTGATTGACAGATATGTCGAATATATTTTCTTATATTCATTTGTAATTTGTATTTCTTCTTTTGAGAAGTGTTTATTGAGTTCACTTTCCCATTTGTTCATTGGATTTTTTGTTGTTAAATTTGGGGTTCCTTATATATTCTAGATATTAATCCCCTGTCAAAGACGTAGCTGGCAGAGATTTTCTCCCATTCTCTAGGCTCTCTCTTCACACTCTGGTTTTCTATGTTGTGTAGAAGCTTTTCAATTTGATGTTTTCTCACTTACTAATTCTTGGTTTGATTTCTTGAACTTTAGGAGGTCTTCTTAAAGAAGTCAGTGCTTGTGCAAATATGTTGGAGTGTGGACCCTATATTTTCTTCTCACAGTTGAAAATTTTCTGGTCTAATTCCTAGTTCTTTGTTCACTTTGAATTTACTTTTGTCCAGGGTGAGAGATAATGATCTAGTTTCATTCTCCTAAATACAGACATTCAGTTTTCCCAGCACCATTTGTTTAAAAGCTTGTCTTTTTTCCAACATATACTTTTCTCACCTTTGTTAAGTCTCAGATTACTGTATCTATGTGGATTTGCCCTGTGACTTTCATTCTATTTACTGGTCTTTAGGTCTGTTTTAATGGCAATACCATGCTGTTCTTGTTACTGTAGATTAGTAGTATAATCGGAGATCAAGTATTATGATGCCTCCATCATCAGTCTTCTTGTTCAGTATTCTTTTGGCTATTCTAGGTATTTTTTGTTCTTCCTTATAAATTTTTCATTATGTTTCTCCATCAGTGAAGAATATCACAGTCATTGTGATGGGAATTGCATTGGATCTGTTTAAGATTTTTGGTAATATGGCCATTTTGACAATATTAACTCTGCCTGTTCAAAGTATGGTTGATCTATTGATCTTCTAAGATCGTCAATTTCTTTCTTGAGTGTTCTACAGTTTTTATTGTAGAGGTTTTCATCTCCATGTTAGATGTACCCCTAATATTTTTTAAGGCTATTGTGTGTGAATGGGATAGTTTCCCTGATTTATTTCTCAACTGATTGGAGTATAAGAAAGCTGTTATGTATGTAGGTTCCATATCCTGCTACATTGCTAAATTTGTTTATCAGCTCTAGAAGTCTTCTGGTGGAGTTTTCTCGTATTCTACATATAGGATTCAGTCATCAACAAACAGAGGTAATTTGACTTAATTTTCTATTTGTATCCCTTTAATTTTTTCTCTTTTCTGTTTCTTCTGGCTAGAGATTAAAGAATTATATCAAATAGGAGTGATGAGAATGGACATGCTTCTTCCTGATTTTGGGGGAAATGCTTTCACTTTTTTTCCACTCAGTATGATGCTGGCTTGGGTTTCTCATATATACTCTTTATGATGTTGATGTGAGTTCTTTCTAAGTCTAGTTTCTCCTGCATTTTTGACAAAAATAGGTGCTGGAATTTACGAAATACTTTTTTGAATCTATTGAGATGATCATGTGATTCTTGATCATGGTATATTATCTTCTTACTGTGTTCTTGAATATGGTTTCTTAATATATTATTAAGGATTTTTAAGTATATTTTCATTTGAAATATTAATCTATAGTTTTCTTTCCTTGATGTGTCTTTGTCTGGTTTAGGTTTCAGGGTGATACTGGTTTCATAGAATGAATTTGGAATTTTTATGGAATAATTTGAAGAAGATTGACATTATTTCTTCATTATTAAGGATCTGGTAGAACTCAGTTGAGAATCTCTGTGGTCCTGGGATTTTCTCTGTTGGATGACTTTCTCTGTTGACTGCTGCTTTAATCACATTGCTTGATATTGTTTTGTGTATATTTTCTATAGTCTCTTGGTTTAATTTAGGTAAGTCATATGTATCTGGAAATTTGTCAATATCTTCTAATTTTTACATTTTCAGTTGTTTGGAGTATTAATTTTCAAAATAGTTTCAAATGAACCTTCTGATTTTAGACATGGCTATAGTGACAGATTTTTCATCCCTAATTTGTTGAGTTGGATTTTCTGCTTATGATTTTGTTAATTTGGCTAAAGTTTATCAATCCTGTTTACCTTTTCTTTGTTGTATTGATAATTTTTATTGTTTTTTTTATCTCAATTTCATCTGTGAAATTATTTCCTGTCTTCTATTAATATTGGGATAGTTTGTTCTTTCCTCTTTAGGACCTAGAGGTATAACATTAGATTATTATTATTATTATTATTATTATTATTATTATTATTATTATTATTATTTTGTATTTTCTAACACTTGCTTTGTATTCAAAATGTGGTGTCTTTACAAAGAAAGTGAGTTTGCTTGACAATGGCTGAAAACAGTTTGTAGATGTCTGTTAGGTTCATTTTATTAGTAGCATTTTTTTTTTTTTTAGTTCTGAAGGGTCTTTACTTAGTTTCAGTTTGGATGATCTATCTGTTGAGAGAAGTGTATTGAAATCAACCAGTATTATTTTTGGGGGGATCTATTTGAATCTTTCTGTTGACTAGTGTTTGTTTTATATATGTAGGTGCACCATTGTTTTGAGACATAAATATTTACAATCATATATTTTGTTGGATGATTCTCTTAACCACTATGAAGTTACCTTCCTTGTTTCTTTTACTTAATTTTAATTTGAAGGCTACTTTGTCAGATATGAGAGTAGCTATTTCTGTTTGCTTTTGGTCTTTCCTCTCAGTCTGTGGATGTCTTTTCCTATAAGGGGAATCTCTAAAAATAACTATGGTTGGGTCTTGTTATATTGAACTAAGACAATCTATGCCTTTTGATTGGAGCACCTAGACCATTTAAATTCAGTATTATTTTACAATAATGATTTTTATTTCCTGCCATTTTGATTTATTTCTAATATTAAATTCAGATTTGATTCTTCTTTAATTGACTCTTCTTCCAATGCAGTTCATCCCTTTGCTTGTTCTCGTTTTTATTTTACCTTTCTTCTGGGTGAAATATTTCACTGAGTATGTTTACTAGTGTTTAGTAGGGTTGACTTAATGGTTATGAATTGTTATAATTTATATGAATCATAGTAGGGTGTTTCCTTTCATCTTCAGTTTAAAAAGATAGCTTTTCCAGACACAACAATCTTGGTTGGTACCCACTAATTTTAAAGTTTGGTATATATTATTCCAGGTCCTCCTGCTTTTTCATTTATTTCAAGAGAATTTGTAATTGCTCATTGGTGCCATTTTATTATGACTGCCTTCTAATCATTTTAAAAGTAGTTCTCATGTGTTATACATCTTAATGTTGGCATTAGTTGATTTCCTTTTCTGATTCTTATTGTGATTTTGATTATACCATTAACATTTACTGAAGAGTACTCCTGATCTTATTTAAACATTCTCTTTTAGAAGGCAGCCTTATAGTTTAATTTCACGTGTAGTGTGGCCTGATACAATGTAGCTTTCTTGAGACTTGCCTGTGCTGAATCTCCTGATTCATCTGAAGTGATTAAACTATAAATTTATATGGTACTTTCCTGGGCCAAATGGTATTGATATGGGGGCATGGGTGATGAATACCTGTGGGATGAATAGCAATTGCTCTGGTTATCAGAGGAATGGGTGTCATGGTACTTCTTTCTATCTCTTCTTATGTCCCTTAGTAAGGAATTCTCCTGTCTGGCTGAACTTTTACTGTATGGTTATTAGAAAATATCTTACAGGGATCCTATCCTTTCTCTTGGAGCATGTTCAGGAATAGGTAAATTTGTGTTGCTTTCTATTTCTGGGAAGTGATTTGGGACCTGCTTTCTCTTCTACTCTTTGTGAAGGGAGTTACAGGGGTCTGCTACTATTGCTTAACATGAAGTAGGGTATTATTTTCCTGTGTGCAGACAGTCATTTCTAGTGATGTGGGTGGGTCCAGCATTTTGCTCTCATTGTGTGCTAAATAAAAATGGATTAGCTCACCTGGGCTCTATTGACTACCACAGAGAATAGATCTAGCTTGCCACTCTCCATGAGTAGAGGTAAGGGTATTGTGTAAGCTAAAATAAACAAACAAAAGTGGCCAGTGATGCCTGGGAGCTAATCGTATATAAACAGACTCATAAGAGACCAATGTGATGACCTGAAATTTTCACAGTATTGACTACTAAAGGAACAGAACTGACTCTAGAGATCACTAGAATTTAAAGGAAGGGAAAAAGGAATTTACTAAAGGAATGTTAGGGGAGTGATGGGAAAAGAATAAGATTATGAAAGTCAATGGTAGGGAGAGCTTGAAGTAATGATCATCAGTGATTTTTTAAGCAAGATATTAAGAAGAAATCAAAGTGAGGGAATGTCATTTACTATGCTTTTAGGTAGCCCTGAAAAATTAATGGAATGTTTGCAGTTGATATTAGCTGTATTCTGTTAATTATAAGTTAGGAAGGATAAGAAAGTTGTTCACAAAATAATTAGAATTATAGCAAGAAATGTTTGAAGTAGGTTGATGATCCTGATGGTTTATGGGCAGACGACAGTTTAAAGGATCAATTTGCACACCAAGAGTAAGGACACAGAATATCAGATGACTGGTGTTATGATGATAGCTAAATCTGAGTGCTTGATGATATCTAGGGAGTAAGAATAAAACCGAGGACTTCATTTAGAAATCAATTATGAATATATCTTCCTTCTTAGGGTGATTGCTTTTATCAAGGAAATGTTGAAGATATTCCACAATCTGCTGTGACACTAAACGTCTGCTCAGGACTCAGGTAATGGCATAATCTAAAGATTATGGACATTCATTGAGGTCTTTTGTCAACTCTTGATTTTTAGAATAGAGTGAGACAAAAGAATATAGTTTTTGGTTGTGTTTCTTTTCATATACTTTGTTTCCTCCTCTTGTGCCTATCCTTTCTCACATTTGTCTTCTTTGTTTTGCCATCCTAAGAAAAAGCCCCTTATTAGCATGAAGAATTTTTATGTTTCTCTGCAATATTAGAACCACAACTCACTTTAAATGCTACAACAGAGGGAAGATCTGTAAAAAACTGGTTTTGAAACTTAATTCAAGTGGGAGCTATTCTTGATATAAGATTACAGAGAAATGCAAATTAAAACCACTCTAAGATACCATCTCACTCCAATAAGAATGGCAGCCATTATGAAGTCAAACAACAATAAGTGCTGGCGAGGATGTGGGGAAAAAGGTACACTCATACATTGTTGGTGGGACTGCAAATTGGTGCAGCCAATTTGGAAAGCAGTATGGAGATTCCTTGGAAAGCTGGCAATGGAACCACCACTTGACCCAGCTATTCCCCTTCTCGGACTATACCCAAAAGACCTAAAAAGAGTATACTACAGGGACACAGCCACATCAATGTTTATAGTAGCACAATTCACAATAGCTAGAATATGGAACCAACCTAGATGCCCTTCAATAGATGAATGGATTAAAAAAAAGTGGCATTTATACACAATGGAATATTACTCAGCACTAAAAAATAACAAGATCATGGCATTTGCAGGCAAATGGATTGCATTAGAGCAGATTATGCTAAGTGAAGTTAGCCAATCCCTAAAAAACAAATGCTGAATGTCTTCTCTGGTATAGGGGGGGTGACTCAAAACGGGATAGGGAGGAAGAACATGAGAAGAAGACTACCACTAAATAGGGAAGAGAGGTGGGAGGGAACAAGAGGGAGAAGGGGAGTTGCACGGAAGATGGAAGGAGAACCTCATTGTTATACAGAATACATATATGATGTTGTAATGAGAAAAAGAAAAAAAGTGTGTCACATTAGATTGGATAGAGAGAAAGGATGGGAGAGGAGGGGAGGAGTAGGAGGGATAGGAAGGTCAGCAGAATAGAATAGATAATATGATTGTATGTGCATTCCATGTATGTATCTGCTGTCATGTATGACTAAAAAAATAAAAATAAGTTGTATGGTAAAAAAAATGTTTCTTATGATATCAATGTATATTTTTCAATGGGAAATTTGAACTAATTAAACTTTCATTTCTTTTACTGTATTTGAATATTTAGGGGATTCTTGCTGTTAGAGAATGTCAGTTATGGAATTGAACCTTTGGAATCTTCAGCTGTATTTGAACATATGATTTACCAAATTAATAATGATCAAGTTGAATATCCCCCCTTAATAGAGGGTTACTCTAGGTCCCACTATATAGGTCAGCCTTACAGGATTCTTGTGAAAACAGACGTGAGTAACCCTTGTTATTTTTATCTTCATATATGTTATGTTTGTTAAAGTTGTTCACTTTGAAATTTTGAGATTTGATACATTTGGAAAACAAACTTAAAATGATAATTACAATATTAAAAACTTTATTTTGGGGTCTTTTTCATAAAATGTTTTTGTTTATTCAGATAGAAAATACAACAGATAAAAACCCCAATGGCATGATTTTTATGCACAAACATAAGGTTTCTTTTTACTGCATATGTACATTAATAGTATAATGATTTCAAAAGGTATATGTTATTACTCTGGAACCATTATCTTTGTCAATTCAAAGTCTTTGTTTAAAAAAGTGTGTTATTTTGATAAAAAGTTTAAAAGTAGGATGGAGACTAACAATTGTCTCAAACCTCAATATCAAAAGAGAGCACTGTTAGAATTTGGGCACATTTGTTCTGATTGTTTTCATTTTCTCAATTATGAATGTAGATTTTTGAGTGTATAGACTTTTAAAATAATATAATATTCTAAATTTCTTTGAAATTTTCATCTTGCTAGATGATAATACTTTATTGAATTGTTATATTTATTATTTTAAAAATTAATATGGCTTAACTTATCTATCAATATACTAAAGAAAAAATTAAATGGAAAATACCAAAACACATGTTTAGAGCTAAATTATGTTGCTTCATGCACTGTTATAATTTTGATGTAAATTGTTTTTCTTTTTCTGACATAATTATATATGTTGAAATTTAAATTTATTCATTTTATAACACTGTATTATTTATTTTTTAATACTTTTTAAACTTTTTTTAAATTTATTTTTTAGGTGTAGATGGACACAACACAATGCCTTTATTTTTATGTGGTACTGAGGATCGAACCCGGGTCCTGGCCATGCTAGGCGAGCGCTCTACTGCTGAGCCACAATCCCAGCCCAACACTGTATTATTTTGAAGTCTTATTTTTCTGTTTAATTAGTAATTAACTTTTGAAATGTACAAAGTTTTTGAACAATCAAACTCTTATATATAATTACATTTAACAATATTATAACAATAACATATTTTAAAAATATTTTTGTTGTACATCCTAACTTCTCTCTTTAGAATGATTTTATAACTTACATGTGGTTATCAGTGGAAAATATTTTCTTTCCACACATTGTCATCAACACTGCTTCACATTAAAGGAAAGTCAAACAAAATAACAATAAATGAAGCTTGAATTTAATATATGACATGGTCCATCTCTCTGTTTCCTTACTTTGCTTTTATTTATTTTGGCAGAGGTATTAATAAAAGGACAGGTCAAGAAAATTGACCTTTGAGAAACCCATAGACATTAGAATTAATAGGTAGAAATAAAGCATAATTTTTAGTGAAACTGAAAAATGACGTCCAATTTCACATTGGCCCTTTGGAAACACTCTTTGTGATGTGACCCAAAATTGTACACAGTTGAAGGAAATATTCACCATTGAAACTGAGCCTTACACAGAAAGTAAATTGAAAAACTTTGAAGGATTCTATGAATACACATCTTCAGCAAGAGAAAAACACGAGAATTGATGTGTTAGGAAAGACAATTTAGAAACTGTTTGGAACCATCCTCCTCCAGTGAACCAGTAATAGAGAGGGACTGGAAGAGTCACAGATAACTTTCACCTCCATCTGCCTGAGTTTGAATTGCAAATCTGACATCACAAGAATGTGGACAAGTCACATAATTATGTAAAAAGTGTTTATATTTTATCATTTATTAAAAATATAATAACAAAAATTAATTATATTAACTAGTAACATGCAATTATTACAATGTTTAAACAAGTTTAAATGTGGAAATTATTTTGCATAGTATGTGGAGAATAAAAGCAAACAATGAATGTTAATACTATAACTATTACTATTTTCTTACCACATTTTTTGATGTAGTGGAGCACATAATCAAGCAGTTATGAAAAGTTTGGGTAAGCAGTTATGAAAACTTATGAAAAGTTTCAAAGACAAAATGCAACAATGAATTAAAACAGAAACAAATAGTTCCAAATTTCAGAAACTATTAAGAAGTCCCTGCATAGATGTCATTACAGGAGTAGAGATAACTGGGTATTGGTACATATTTGTGAATTTCATATCTTTCATGGGGATCTCAATCATTGCTTTTCATTATCAATTTGATAGATTTAAATTATATATATATATATATATATATATATATATATATATATATATATATATATATATATAAAATTTAAATGTGCAAAACTGCTTTATAGGGACAAATAACATAAAATCTATTTAGACATGTTCTTACATATGTGAAAGGACACCAATAAACATGGAGTTGAAAACAGAACCAGCAGTCAAACGAAATATGATAAAGAGCTTTAAAACCTGAACACATCTGTTTATCCCTGCTCCTGCCTTAAACCCCAATAAAAAGGCATCAACATGCAGAGACAAGTAGTATAGGAGAAGAGTAACAGCAGTAGAACTTGAATAGAAGAGAGACAACAGCTGATTTAGCCTCTCCAAAACTGATCTTATCCTAGAAATGAAGACAAGCTAGCAAATTCTAAACTGGAGGACAGTTATTTGTATTGCAGAAACATACGACAAATTTCTGGGATTGTCTATTTAAATTCATTGGTTAGTGGATATGAGGTATCTTCAGAGGGAATTTGGGCGAAAATTTAGAAAAGCCATCTTCTCCTAAGCAACTGCATTTTATAGACAGATGGAAAGCAAACTTTTGGGAGTGTTTGAGGTCATGATGCCAGACACAGATGTTCTGCCATCTCTCACAATTAAGATGAAAAAAAAAAAACCAAAAAAACACTGAACCTACCATGGTTAAATTAAATGTGTGGCGCATGGGGTAATGGGAACCAGGATTTGATATTCTTCTAAGGAGTTATATTGGAAGATGATTCTAACTAACCAAAGAAAATACCTAGCCATATTGATAGCAAAGCTGTTTTTTTAAATCAAAGACAAAATAAAAAAATAATTACTCTCTGTGAGGATTCCATCCCATAAAACACTACAAAATCACAGAAGTTAGAATAAGCTATTACTGTTAGATTCTTAATATGGAAGGATTGGATAAAATGAGGAAGAACACCATTATTCTCTTTGTTCACATTGTTGATATTTAATGCGATAATCACTAGTGCTCTCTCCACTTGATTTTGTTCAGTCACAGAAT